AACAAGACCAAGGTGCTCGTTGTGGACAGAATGGGGACATGCACTCGCTCACATGAACTCAGAGACTTGGAGTTTGTGGATCGGTTTATTTATCTGGGCTCTCTTATCGATGGTGGGGGTGGCAGCGACGGAGAGATCAGAAGGAGAATCCAGATGTCCAAATCAGCAATGACGAAACTCACCAAGATATGGAAGGACCGAAATATATGTCGCAAGACCAAAGTGAGGCTGATGCGTGCGTTGGTTTTCTCCATTTTCTTGTATGGCGCCGAATCCTGGACCCTAAGGAAAACTGAGAGAGCAAAAATTGACGCCTTCGAAATGTGGTGCTGGAGACGTATGCTCCGTATTCCCTGGACCGCTCGTCGCACCAACGTCTCCATTCTCAAGGAGATCGGAATTACTACGAGGCTGTCCACTGTATGCCTGCAGCGAATATTAACTTATTTTGGCCACATTGCGCGTAGAGACCCCAACAATCTGGAGAAGCTTGTGGTTGTTGGTCGGGTTAACGGGAAAAGACCTCGCGGTCGCTCACCTACCCGGTGGTTGGATGCTGTAAAAAACCTAACCGGCCTGACAGTCCCAAAAGCCATAAAGACCGCAGAGGACAGGGGCGTTTGGAGGAGGGTTGTGCATCAAGTGACGCGTGCACCAGACTAGACACGACCTTCAGTAATGAAGAAGACGACTAGGAAGGAATTCAAATTAATTATTGGAGTTTACTTCATCGAAGGTAGATAAATAAATCATATTAGAAACATATTTGTTTATTTTTATATCCCGCATAATGTTCTTGTAAACATTTACGTTAACTCGGATACTGGTTACGTTATTTATATAACGTACATATTATTATGTTCTTAAAACATCAGGTTTTTAACTACCATGAAGTATCTACTCTTAAAAATTCACCACTATATGTAATTACTAATAACTTAAGTGTGCGACAGCCATCCTTCTGCACGAATGGACCGGCTTAACCGGAGTAATACCACGGCCGAGTTGAAAACCGACGTGAAACCACGCTTGCGTTGTGTTTCGTCGTGTGAGTGAGGTTATCGGAGGCCGACTTACCCTCCCTCCCCAGTCTCCCCAATCCCCGAATCCCGCATAATTCACAAATTCCCAATTCCCAAAAAGGTAACGCACTTGTAACGCCTCTGATTCTGTTTCAGGTGTCAATGGGCGGCGCTGGTGGTTTACCATTACCACTTACAAGTAAAAACTCAATTGTAACTAAGCTTACTTTGTTTTTTTAGTTCTGCGGTTTGATCTTTAATCACATTAAACAATCGAATGATTCCATGAATTGTTCAAGTATTACCTCCTCCGTGAGCTGGTTTCCTTGGTAACAGTAGATGTATACTTGCAGCATCATGCACAGCAGATATGATGCCATTGGTATACTCCGGACGAGGTTCCCGTTGTTTAATTCCTAGAGAAATACTTTATCAATTATCATTATCACCCGCTGGGAGATATCCATTGTTAGATACTATAATAATGTATATATTAGTATCGTTGTATCACCTAAATAAGATCAAAGTCAAAGTCAAAGTGAAATCCAAATTTTGAACGTCAAAACAAAATATTTAAATATTAAATAATTAGAAAAATGTCAGTCTGTAGGTCAGTCCTCTAGTGGAGCTATTTGAGGTTGAGGTTAACCGACGAGGGTTCGATTGGCTAGAACGAATTCAAATTCAAATATGTTTATTGCTGAAAACAGTACATTTAGATGCACTGCAAGATGTTAGATGAATGCTCAGTTCACCATGTTCCACCAATCAAGGCATGCAATTATTATTCGTAAATTATTAATTTAGAAGAATCCGTACTCGGTTAAAAATAAGGCAATTTATTTTCGATGTTGTTATAAATAGCACGAAGTAGAGATTTCTTATGGCAATCAGTGTATTATTACATAACATATTAATTGGCGAACTGTTCCTACAAGACGTTGTGTTATGAGTTATACACAGTTAAAATTGGTACCTGATTAAATAAATAACAAATGCCAATGGGGCGCTGACTAAGTACTTTAAATTACTGGGTTTCCTTACCATGGCTAGCTGGTATGCTGTTACACAAATGATGACGGCAGACACTGTAAACTGCGCCAGGATAGGATATGAGAAGCATGTCTGTATCAACCTGGTCGACTTTAATGCAGCCTCGTGTTTGATCACACACTGCCGCAAGCGAGATTGAACTAAGTTCTCTTCGTCCGAAGTAAGTAAATCCTGTGAGTGTAGACGTTTTTGTTAGTTTTTATGGAATTAGGTGGATTAGCAGACCAATGGTACCAGATTAATTCAATACTTTAAACTATTTTGCTTCATTTTCTGCTAAACAAAGGGTTTTTCTATAGTACAATTGAAACACCGATTTCGATACATACAAAATTAACTTAAAAATGCTGGTAAAATAATGAAAGCACTAATTACCCTACAATCACTATATCAGCATAATATTATGTACCTTTCCAATAACTGGAATGTCTTCACAGAGCCTCCTGAGGGACAACCCGACCAGTCCCAGTCTGCAGCGGCAGACAGCAATCATGGACGCCACCATCACGTCCAGACACGTGTTCACCATCGACGCTACCGTCACTGAAGAACTCTGCAGAAAGAGAGTAATTGGTAATTCTTTTGTTATGGGAATGTCGACCTTGTGGTGTGATTAGCTAGAACTACTATTGTGTTTGAGCTAGGACTACATACCTGATTAAAGTATGTCAATTCGTATGCGGGAGACTTCGAAGCGTCATAAGGATACCTGCAAGCCCAAGAAATTATATTAATTTCTACTCCATAAATAGTCTTACTAATGACAAGCTTTCAATACCAACCCTAAACGATTGTTTAGTCGTACGACAAATTAGTATATATTTGAATATTTACTTATTAAGATACGATTGTCTCACCATGCTCGGAGAGGCAGCTGGTTTTTCTCAGCACTAGCAGCCCAGCCAAACACCGTGATTAGTGACAGCATTGCTTCGAGGCATAAAAACTTTGTGGTCTCCCGATTGCAACTACGTATTGGGATAAAGAACGACAAGATATATAGTTGTACAATCTATTAACTTCATTACGATGTTCAATATTTAAAACATTATACATAACATAAAATAACATAACATCACGCCTTTTATCCCCGAAGGGGGGTAGGCAGAGGTGTACATTATGGCACTGTACAATGTAACACCCACTTTTCAATATTTATGTTATGAGTCCCATGTAATAGGGGGTGAGCCTATTGCCATATACCGGGCACAATTCCAGACACCGTGTTACTACTGGGAATTTATAAAAAAACTCAGTAATACTTTGCACGGCCCGGGAATCGAACCCAAGACCCCTTGCCCGGCAGTCACACTTGCGACCATTCAGCCAACGAGGCAGTCATTAAAACGTTATACTTTTGTAATAAAAGACGTGTGATCACAACAGATTAGAATCCTTTGTATACGCAAACATATAATACAGATAAAACGAAATTGAACTACGAGTAAAAGGTAGAAAATCAGTATATTCCACACCTCTTAATAATTTCCCTTCCTTCCTCCCTATCCTCAGCCACGAGGTCATCATCAGCATCATCTATTATGTTCTGTATCTGTCGACTCCTCGCCACCACGTTGATGATCTTCAGAGCAAAGGCCAGGTTGGTAAATAGGAGAAATGACGCACTGGTCATCAGCGCCAGATCTCCCCAAATTTCAAACATAGCGCCCGTTTGAGCTATTATGATACCTCCTTAAATACAAATCATTGATTAATAAGATTATGTTTAATGCTCACTAGATTAGGGGGTTAAATAATTTTTTGAAAAGTATTAGTCGTTCGTCTTACGTGTACAAAGATATGTAGAAGGCTCATTTGATAGATAATGATGCGACCATCATCATTAGTTATTATTGTCGTATTTTTTATCATCCAAATACATTCATTATGTCATGGTGGCCCGGAGGTTTAAGACGCCATGCATGAGGGTACGGATTGGAAACCTACCAACGGCAAGTACCAATGTGACTTTTTCCGAGTTATATGTACTTTGTAGTGAAGGAAAACAACGTGAGGAAACCTGGACTTATAATTTCTAATTATAAGTTTGTAATCGCCAATCCGCATTGAACAAGCGCCTTGATTAATGCTCACCTTCTCCGTGTGAGAAGAGGCTTTGCTCAGCAGTGGGCATTTATAGGCTGTTGATGATGATGACATTCATTAAATCATTATATCTACCTCAATTTACTACAAGAACGGGTCTCTACTTACCAACCAAAAACATGAACGAAGAGAAGCAGTACACCCATAGGAAAAAGCTATAGACCCCAGTCTGTGGAGGGGTCAGGAAGCCTACCACCTTCAGGACAGTCAGACAGACCCGCAGTGAGTTGTTCGCATTGTCCACTATGAACCCCATGATGATTATCTACTGACTTACGATAGTTGATCTCATGGTGGTTATATCGGTGGTACTTTGTATGGCAGATGTTAAAAACATTGCGGTTTGATTTTTTGTAACCTAAGTAAATATTTTGATGTTAATAAATTCCATACGCAGTTAAGAATTCTTCAATTAGATAATTATGTTCTGAGTAAAATGATAAAAGCCGTATTAGGTACAAATCAATAAATATATTGTGTAAGATAAAAACTCATCCACTGTTTTATTAGAAACTGACATTGTTTTGGAAAACTTATGAATTTTGTCTGAGGAATTAATTTTCTGAACTAAAAATTAAGTGTGGGAGAGCCATGCTTCAGCACGAATGGGCGGGCTCGACCGGAGTGATACCACGGCCTCACAGAAAACAGACGTGAAACAACGCTTGCGTTGTGTTTCGTCGTGTGAGTGAGGTTACCGGAGACCCAATTACCCCCTTCCCCAGTCTCCCAAATCCCCGAATCCCCAACAATCCTCAAACTCCTAATTCTCAAAAGGCCGGTAACGCACTTGTAACGTCTCTGGTGTTCCGGGTATCCATGGGCGACGCCGATTGCTTACCATCAGGTGATCCGTCTGCTCATTTACCGGCTTATGCCATAAAAAAAACTAAAAGCTGACAGTATTTGGATGTCAAATTTGACTTATCTAAAATTGATAAATGTTTGCAAACTCTGTACAGAAATCAAAGGACTTTTAGTTTTAGTAGAAGGCATAGAATTATCTATAAATTTCTCTAGTATTACATACACGTTCCAATTGAGTTATTATATTTAATGAATACTTACAAAACGTTTGTAAAACTAAACAGTATTTATTCATAATTGTAGTCTACCATTAAAATAGCAATTTAGCAATTAATACTACAGACCAGTATAAAATCAGAATTGAATATTAAATTCAGTAAAATATAGACACAGAGAACTTTTTATCGATTTGAATATTAGGCAAAACTCAATGACGTCAAGAAGTAGTGATAATTTTTAAAGTTAATCTGCTTAAATGTAATGTAATAATTATCAAAATCTACAATATTCTTTAGTTTTATCTTAAATTATGAAATATTTGTTACGTTCTATTAATTGGGAAACTACACCTCGAACTACATGTATGTAATAAGCGCCATCTGTTATTTGACGACGTAAACAGCAAACATTCGACTCAGCCGCTCGAGTATATGTCCGATTAGCCACGGAGGCGTAGTTTAATGTTCTTTACGTTTACACAATAAACACTAGAGATGACACCACTTAGGCTGAAATAAACACACATATTGTTCCCCGAAGGGGTAGACATACAGAAGAGCTAAACTCATAAACTAAGTGTAATTCACGTTTAGTGGGGTTTAAAAAAAACCAAATATAATATATTTATCTATACATCTGTTACGTATCGGTGCCGACACATGTACCTACACCGTGATCAACGCCGTGCCACGAGGACCATATCTGCTGAATCAGGACATTAGACCTACTTTGATGCAACGAAGTATTGCAACACCCAAACTGCTGAGTCAACTCCTCATGTCACCGCCTCGTGCCCAGCTGCGAATCGCTGCATCAGCAATCACCCCACTAAATTTAACCTCAATAGGTTTTATTGG